TGTACAGACGTACTTAAGAAAAAAAAAAAAAAAAAAAAAAAAAAAAAAAAAAAAAAAACGCCTATGCATACGCCTATACGTATGCATTTTAAAACAAAGCTTTTGAAGTTTTCTTACCCATGCTCTTCTGTCCTTCCGCACGTCTGCACACTTCTTGGCACTGTTACATTACAAAAAAAAAAAAAATTTGCATTAAGAAATTCAATAGATATTAGCGAATACTGAGATAAACACAATGAAGAAGGCCTTTTAACGAATATTTCTAATATATGCCTTATTAGTGCAATATGTCTCGTTGTCCACATATGAAACAAGAAAAACTACGAAAACAAGATAAAATCCTTCAACTTCGTTCTGCAAGAACTACTACATCACGTAAAATTTTCCAAATTGATTTAGAAAAGCGTCGGCCCACGTAGAAGCGTTGAATGGACTTGGTGGAAGGCATACTTACTTTTAGAATTTCTTTGGCATGCAAATCAAAATTCCATCTCATAACTATTTCTCTGTTCGTAGGTGTATGTGTGAAAGTGGTTAACGCATAAGACGTTCAATTTACCCAAAATTCCAGATATAGATAACTAAGATGTTGATCCTTGAACGATACAAGTTTGAGTTGTTTACAAGTCATCGTTCAATACACAGCAAAGTTCAAACAGATAGATGTCACTTATGGTATTTGGTGTATTTAGCTAAAAATGTGCGAAAAGGATTAAGTTGACTTGGAATGAAAATGCAATAAGCTATCAAGTGCTTTGCGAGATTTTGGGCACCAAATTTTAGTCTTAAGAAGAATAAAACTTTGCGTATATCTCGTACATCTCTCGCTAAAAAAGAACGACCAAGGAAATCATTTTCGGCTTACGCTGGCACATTTTATCGCACCCACCATATTCTCCGGATTTCAACCCCATTCAGATCAATGCAGTCATATTTAGCAGGTGATTGTTTCGCCTGCAAACCGGCAAACTGCTATCGCGATGCCGTCCATACGCTAGCTACCGATAACCGGCAAAAGGCCATAAAATAACGATGATACAGATTTCGATTATTAAGCTTCCTAATCAGCATAATCTAAATAATGTTGAATTTTATCAAAAAAAAAAAAAAAAAAAAAAATTTGTTTGTACACCCGTTGTATATATGTTAAATATATTCAAAATCCATTGCGTTCGCATGACCAGTAAAAGTTTATCAGAATTCTCAAAATTTGTAACAAGTTTTAAAATAACGTAAACAGTATTTTTATAACTTTTATAAATCTATTATGTATATATTTACGATCACAAATATTTTCTTTTTTTTCTTAGAAAACTTTTTTAACTTTTAAATTTTAAACAATGTTCTTAAATTCAAATGTTAAGTGCTGTAGAGTTTACTTTGGTCGCAACTATAGTGAGTACTCAGCCGATAAAGGCTGCATAACAGTTGCCGATTGGGCGAACAGAAACTAGACGAAGGCCACCATCTCCCTCTCTTTTTCTTCACTCCTTTCTTACCGTAACCGTGGCGCATGAATAGACGACATCGCTTGAGTAATTAGTTCATATTAAAACCAAAAAAAAAAAAAAAAAAAAAAAAACATTATCATGAACATGAACCACGCCCCCAAGTCGGAAGATATTTTATTACATCTGTTTGTAGAAATCAAGTTCCGAACTTTAAAGGCGTGGTATTGGCTTAAAGTTAATAATCGGTTCACAATTTCATTAATCTTAAGCGAAAAGGCCAATCATTTTTACTGTCGCCCTCCATCAACTCTTCTCCACCGCAAAGAAGCAAGCGGTAGTAAAAGTGTTAAATTAATTAAAAGCCCAAACCAAGCCAACCAAGACAAATGTTATTGATTTCATCTACGATTACCGAATAAATGTGAATTATGTAAATAAAACGGAGCATTCATCCGATATGCAATTAGTTTTCCGGATTTATTTCGAGAAATACAAAAAAATAATTGATTCAAAGCATTTTCCATCGCCAGTGATTACCTTTCCCATCTCTTAGGCCGAATATGCTTTTCGTGAACGGAAAGATGGCTGACGTCTTGAGATTAAGCCACAAAGATATCTACTTTCTTTTCCCCTTTTGGCTATTGCCATAGCAATGGAAGTCCTGTTCGAACGCAACGTTAATCGCAAGGATTAACTAATGTCTATTGATGAGGGGAAGAAAGTTTATTGAAAGAGTCTCCCCGAAAACACATCATATTCATCTCAATTGCATCAATGGTTATTAGCAATGATAATTTCATTTGATTGGAGTAAATCATAATACAGCATACACACGCAACCACTAAGAACATATATATTATGAATATATTTGCGGCCAGTGCTGATAAGACATAAAAGTGTAAGTCATAAAGACATTATTGCGATTAGGCGGAGAAAGACTCTCATAATAAGCCAAATTTAAAGCAAAGATCCTAAGTTTGTAAGCTAAGGCTTTAATTTGACTTAAAATGCATCAATCATCGAACTTTTAATTGAGCAGGAAACGAAAAGGAGGAACAGACGTTGGTTGGCATTGGAAAATAATTTTCTATAAGAAGCGTTTGGTTGGTCTCTTCTTTTCGTAGCAATATGAAATGAAGGCAGTCAATATATCTTGCAATATATGCCATTTATCTTAAAGAAGTGTGATTGTAGTATGAAGATTCAACCAAACGCCAGCACATCAGTCAGTGTCAGTCAGTCCAGAAAAGTTCCAGTTATTCCATTTCGAAATTCGATAAGGAGACCTTTTGCTTATTATTATTAACCAAACACAATTTAGGGGTGTGGGGGGAAGGGACGAAATAAGGAAGAAATTTCGTACGCAAATGTTTAATTGCAATAATAATATGATTATTTTCATATGTAAGGCGTAAGAAAAAATTCGACTTGAATCGAATCTAAATCCTTTTTTACATCTTATTGCTTCGATGAATATAGAAACTACATTTTTTTTTTTTAAATCTGCCAAAAAAAATTATATATGCATATGCATATGAATATATATATATATATATGTATATATGTATATATGTATATTTTCTAGACGTATGTTTTTACAAAATATTATACGATTTTCATTCATATTACGTGTGTTCGAGCAAAAATTGTGGGCGGCTGCGTTTTGCTGCAAAAATCAAAATGAAATGTTATATTGTGTACTTAACTGGATTCACACTTTATCGTTATTTTGGTTACTGCACCAAATACACATATATATATATATATATATATATATGTATTAATATTAATATACATGCGAATAGGGTATCGTTTAACATACGCATATCTTAACGAGGGGTAAAAAAAGAAAAAGCATTTATTTTTTTATTTTTCACTGTTTACTTTGATATGCACACAAACATACGCGTGCCGTCGGTGACTTTGTAAGAAAACCCTGAAAAAGAGTAATGAAAATAAAAGGAAGCCCCATATATATATGTATATATATATATATATATATGTATGTATATATGTATAGGTTTGCGATTGTTTCCCGTGAAAACAATTCTTATTAAAGCATATTCTTCTTCTTCTTCTTCTTCTTCTTCTTCTTGTTCTTCGTGTTCATCATATGTGTTATGTATATGCATGAGCTGGGATATGAAGTGAGGCAGCCTTAGCGAAACATGCCTTACAATGGGCAATTGGCCAAAAATAAATTTTTCGCAAAAGACATGTAGTTTGCATATTGATCTATCTGCGATGAGGGCGAGATATAAACATGATCTCTTATTATCCCCATACGCCCATACAGGCCGCGCACATATTTGTTTTCTCGTTTCGTTTTTCTGTTTTTCTCTCTTTTTTTTTTTTTTTTTTTTTTTTTCTTTTTCACATTTCGAAATATTTTTGTACAGATTTTTCTTAATTTATATTTTAATAAAATATTTTAGCTTATGCTGCAAATGTGTATTTTTAACAGAGAAATATACTTATTTGCACACAAACTTACGCGCCTATATATATGATTTGTCTTTGTAGAGATATGCACATATGTTGGCATCGTTAACCACACAGTTCATGGCACAACGCAACACAATTTGTTTTTTTTCTTGTATTTCTATATATCTTTAACGCACGCTTTACCTACATTTATTTTGCATATGCAAACAAGAAGAAGAAGAAGAAGAAAATATTCTATTTCCCATCATTTACATGTGTAGAAAAATGAATGCTTACAACATATCAAAATTGCAATTAATACATAGTTTCTTTTTACGATTACTCGCTCATGATTTCGAAGGGGGAAATAAGCGGTAACAAGTAA